GAAGTTCCTTTCAGTGTTTTCACCTGACATGACATCATTTGAAGTTATGAAAAAGATGAGTGAAGCTGCCTGGAAACCAGATTAAATCAATTGATCAAATTCCACTATCTGATCTAAGATAGGAAAAAAAAGCAAACCCACCCAAAACCAAAACAATACCCCAGCCTCTAAAGAGCTTTAATAAGGCTAAGTTATATTTGGACATGTTATTTTTAATCCAAGGGGGTGTAATAGAATATTACTATTTTAAAATACATGACAAAATTTAGTATTTGGAGTTTAAAATGATCTCAGGAATGACTGAGTCTGATAGTGACTTCATTAGTTCATCAGTAAATATGGTGGTTTGTTATGTAGATTTTTAATGGTATTTAGGAGGAATATCTCATAGTGCTGTACTGCTGCACAAGGCTGTGTAGAAGGTAGCTAGTAGTGGAACTACCTGAAAGGGCTGTGTAACAGAATTTGGCTTGTTACTGTCTAATTGCTATTCAGTGCTAATGAAGAACTTCAGTTCTGTACTGGACCAGATCGAAATGATGTGGGGACCTAAACCAGCATTTTATGGGTTGAAGGGCTGAAGTTCAATACTGTGTTATTAAACAAACAAAAAAAAAAAAGAACTTGTTCAGCTAAACTCGTATTTAGCTGAACTATGCTGGTGAATAACTTTACAACTTTACAAGGTATGTCCCTATACTGGTGAGATTACACCTTGAATACTGTGTTCAGTTGTGGGCCCTTCACTACAAGAAAGACACTGAGGTGCTGGAGCATGTCCAAAGAAGAGCAACAAAGCTGGTGAAGGGTCTAGAGCACAGGTCTTACGAGGAGTGGATGAGAGAACTGGGGTTGTTTAGTCCAGAGAAGTCTCAGGGGGGACCTTACCACTGTCTACAACTACCTGAAAGGAGGTTGTAGCAAGGTGGGGTATGGGCTCTTCTCCCCAGCAACAAGTGATAGGACAAGAGGTAACACTTTTCAAGGGATTGTTTTAGATTGCATATTAGGAAAAATTTCTTCACTGAAAGGGTTTTCAAACTGCCCAGGGAAGTGGTCAAGTCACCATCCCTGGAAGTATTTAAAAGGCATGTAGACATGGCACTGAGGGAAGTGGTTTAATAGTGGACTTGGCAGTGTTAGTTTAGCAGTTGGACTTGATGATCTTAAGGGTCTTTTCCAACCTAAATGATTCTATGACTATTCAGTCTTCACTTGGGAGCATCCCTGCCTAGATGTTACTCAGGCGGAGTAGTTTCGCATCTGCCTTCAGCGAGGGTTTGATTTGGATCAAAGCAAGAGGCTTCTGTGGTGTCTTAGAATGTATTCTGGGAGTGCTTATCATGGAATGGCAGAGTCTTTGCACAAACTAGCTGGGCCCATGCTTTGAGCATTTGTACCTGAGGTGTCTGGTGAGGTAGGACTCATTTGGTTTGGTACTGACTCCTTTAGTATGGAGAACAAGTTGTTAAATCCGTCAGTCAGAGACCACCTGGATTTGTGATGTATCATCTTGAAGGGCTGTCCTGCATCCTTGATGCAGTTTGTACAGTGACACATAGTTAGAAAACCGGTGCTGGAAGAGCCAAGCACCAATGTGCTGAGCATGGCTCCCACATTTTCTCAAGCCCTGCAAGTATTGCAATCTATGCAGTAATAGTGCTATGGGTAACATCCTGCCTAATGGAAGATTAATGAAAGGGATGTTAATACTATTCTGTGCTAGGAATAAAAGTATCAAGCCCAGTCTATTCTGAAGTGTACTAATGCAATGTTTAATGCATGACAGGACAGAATGATGCAATTTCTGTTGGAATTGACTCATCTGTTAGAGCTCCAGATGCTGCCCTGCAAGCTACTGTGTCTAAGATAATTAATCCAGATAAGACCTTTTAAACATTTTATTAAATACTGGTAGGTGCCTTGTGCCTTTTCTACTGAAAATATATTTTGCCTATTACAGTTAGAGCAGGATTTCAGACCTGCAGACAAATACTTGTGTAGTTTCACTTACACAGCCGTTACATTATTACAGAGAGAAAACTGTTTCATTTTAACATACTCCCTGAACTTATTAGTAATTACTGGAACTGAGAAGCTGCTCTAATTTACATCAGGGGAACAAAAGGAAAAGACAAGTTTCAAATGTGACTGAAAGTAGTAGCTGAAGCACCAGATGCTGCGGCTCATAGTCCCAAAGCTCTATTAGAACTGCTTAAATGCTTCAACTTAGTGTATTATTAGTGTTTGCATTCTGGTTCTACCTGCATATTTCAGTCACAGCTAAGAGCTACTGAACCATACATGAACTATAAGAGGGTGTAGTCCTTTGAAGAGTTTACAACCCAAAAGACAAAACAGAGGCCTAAATAAACACTGATTTAGCCTAGATATACAGGATATGGTTTTAGGATTTCTTCATTATCTCAACAACTCTTTTTCTCCATTATACTGTTCTGTGTATAGCTCATACGCTTAATTTTTTTTGAAGAACTGGTATCAGTCAAAACAAAGCCTGGTACTAGTTCCTCAGGTGTCAGAAGGAAGGTTTATAGGACCATGAACCTTTCCAGTGACAGTGGTGAGCATGAAGCAGAGCAGAAACTGGTAGGCTCTACTGTGCATAAAACATTTGGGCTGACTGCCAGAACTGGAGTTGCTGAGAAGAGGCAGTAACAGGAGGGAGTGAGACGTGAGAAGGCAGTGACGGGAGCCTAGGGAATGAAGGAAAAGAGGTTACAGTGGAGTTCAGTAGGCAACTGGACTGATGTTCAACTTCCAAATCCTTAGAAACTGTTGAAAAATTTAATGGTTGTGTCAGCCATGAGGCTAGTGATAGTACTTGCAGTGACAGAGGTTTTACTTCTGTGTTGTGCAGTCTCACCTTCATAAGGTGTGGGTTGGGTTCCAGTGACTTCAAGTCTTTCTTCTGGTCTGTGGTTGAAGCAGCTGTAAGGTGCTTGATCTCTCAGTTATTTTACTAACAGTCCAGTAATACTTTGCAGTTCTCAGCTATGTGTGAGTTCATCAGAACATGATACAGCCTTAGTGCTAAGGACCATCAACGATTTAGATGAGGGAATTGAGTGTACTATCAGCAAGTTTGCTGATGACGCTAAGCTGGGAGGAGTGGCTGACATGCCAGAAGGCTGTGCTGCCATCCAGTGAGACCTGGACAGGCTGGAGAGTTGGGCAGGGAATAACGGGATGAAATATAACAAGGGGAAGTGTAGAGTCCTGCATCTGGGCAGGAACAACCCCAGGTTCCAGTATAGGTTGGGGAACGACCCGCTAGAGAGCAGTGTAGGGGAGAGGGACCTGGGGGTCCTAGTGGACGACAGGATGACCATGAGCCAACGCTGTGCCCTTGTGGCCAAGAAGGCCAATGGCATCCTGGGGTGTATTAGAAGGGCGGTGGTTAGCAGGTCGAGAGAGGTCCTCCTTCCCCTCTACTCTGCCCTGGTGAGACCCCATCTGGAATATTGTGTCCAGTTCTGGGCCCCTCAGTTCAAGAAGGACAGGGAGCTGCTGGAGAGAGTCCAGCGCAGGGCAACCAAGATGATTAAGGGAGTGGAGCATCTCCCTTATGAGGAAAGACTGAGGGAGCTGGGTCTCTATAGTTTGGAAAAGAGGAGACTGAGGGGTGACCTTATAAGTGTCTATAAATATATAAAGGGGGAATGTCACGAGGATGGAGCCAGGCTCTACTCAGTGGCAAACAATGATAGGACAAGGGGTAATGGGTGCAAACTGGAGCACAAGAGGTTCCACTTAAACTTGAGAAGGAACTTCTTCTCAGTGAGGGTGACGGAACACTGGAACAGGCTGCCCAGGGAGGTTGTGGTGTCTCCTTCCCTGGAGACATTCAAAGCCCGCCTGGACACATTCCTGTGTAACATTATCTAAGTGTTCCTGCTCTGGCAGGGGGATTGGACTAGATGATCTTTTGAGGTCCCTTCCAATCTCTAGCATACTGTGATACTGTGATACTGTGACCAGATGTTGCAGCAAAAGCTGAAAGGTCTCCTGTATCCTGGAGTAATTTCCGATGTTCATCAGTTAGCAGTTCTTGATTAGACTCCTTGTGTGTTCCCTCTTCAGGGTTTTCATGAAGCTTAACACGTAATCTAAATCCCTTTTAAGACTCATAACTGTGCAGATGGCTTTGCACATACTAGTTTTATGCCATGTGATTAGTGAGGAATTTCTTGAAAAACATTCCTCCCCAAAATCTTAGGGTTACCTTCAGTGTGGCAGTTGCAAGCAAGTTTGTGTGTCTTTTTAAATTATTCATTGTGTTAAAGACAATACGTATTCAAATGCAGGCTTTTTTGTGTCTGTACATACACAATTGAAACAGCAGGCTTTTAAAACTGGTTTGGTTACAGCTTTTGAGATGTTTCAGATATGTTTAATTGTTTCCTATTTCTAAGAAACTAACTAAAGCATCAAACTTCAGACATGATGAACATCTCTCCTTTGAAAATGTGTTGGTGATTAGATTTTCCTTGAAGAATACAGGAAAACAAGTCACCCTTTGAAGCACTAGATGCATCCTATATATAAAAATTTTGATTGCTGCATGACTTTCTGAAGTGGTCTGAAAAACTTAATCTGTTTTGTTTAAAATACATTTTTAATAAATTGAAGTACAGCTGTTAAATCAGGAAGTAATGAAATTGGGCTACTGATTTTTCTATAAAATGCATACACAGTTACGCCTGATAAAAACAATCTTGTTATGTTGTCAAAATATGAAAAATTAGCTTATCAGTATTGAAGATACAAAAAAACAAAACCAAAACTCTCAGAAAGTGAATGAAATGTATTCTACATAAATATTTAAGTACAATGAACTTAATTTCTACAATTTGGAAACAAGTTAACATCCCTTTCTTTTTTACCTCTTTCAGATATTTGGGATAAGCACCAAAGTGTATGATTTGTAAATAAGTTTCTTCTCATTAATCTTTCTTTATTTTTTATTTTTTTTTTCACAGGTACTTTCAGTAGAACAGACTTTCAGGAAGCGAAGTCCTTAACTCTTGATTCCCTGGTATCAAGGACTCATCAGGCACCATCTTCAGCCTATTGCTTCAGTATTCTTGGCCAAGCAGAGGGAGAGCTTTCTTCAGCCCTTGTCCATCTGTCTCAACTGAACCTGACTTCCTTGCTGATTTTCTCTTTATTACAAATGCCTAAGAACAGCAAGGTAGTGAAAAGGGAACTAGATGATGAGGTCATTGAGTCAGTTAAGGACCTTCTCTCTAATGAAGACTCTTCAGATGATCCCTTTAAGAAGAGTGAACTTATGGTTGATGATCAGGAAGAAAAAGATGTTGACGTTGAAGAAGGTTCAGATGTAGAAGATGAAAGACCTGCTTGGAACAGCAAACTCCAGTATATTCTGGCACAAGTTGGATTTTCCGTGGGATTAGGGAATGTGTGGCGATTCCCGTATCTGTGTCAGAAGAATGGTGGAGGTAAGTCTTGTGATAGCTGGCCATATCTAAATGATAAAGCTAACCTATCTGGTTTCAAGATTAGCAGAGGTTTCAACAACAAAACCTGCTACATCATGTCAAGTTTTTCCTTTAATTTCTACCAGAACCTATGAAGAGACACCCATATTCTCTTTGCGTAGTGAGATACATCTGTTAAAGTAAGTAGCAGATTAAGATTCAATTTACACATTTTAGGGAAGAAAGCTCTTGGTATGACTTTAGTGGTCAAACTAGTGTCTAAGCAAAACGCGTATTTACAGAGAGGTTGCATTATTTAGGACCTGGCTATTGTTCTGCTGAAGTGTTCTTCGTAGTACTTGGACAATAAATCAGGGCATTATATCTGCATCCACTTCAAAGACTAAAGCAGTATTCAGTCTTCAGTATTGAGCAGTACTAAGCTTCACACCTTTACTTTTTAATTGCTTTTAATTGTTTTTAGCTCCTAGGCCACTTGATCATGATTTATTTCCTGCGGGAGCGACAAAATACTGTAGGAGTGAAAAGGTTTTATTTACTGAAAATGAAGAATTTAAATCATTACCTTAAGAGAATGCAGGTGTTTTGTGTTGTTATATAGCTAACTATTTTCCTAAACAGCAAGTTACCTTTCACTTAGAACATTAACATCAAGCTGTTTGTTTGTTAGCTGTCCACCTGTGGTCTTGAATGTAGTATGAAGTATGAGGCTGGAGACCTCCCTTCCTCTGAATACAGGATTAGTGGTTTATCCTATGCTGTACTGTACACTGCTATATTACATTAATGCACATCCTGTTGTAGCAATTTACTTGTCTGAATTCAAACCAAACTTGTCACTCTCTATGGTACAAAAAGTGAATCTGTACCACAGAATAGAAAACACAGAACAAGATTTTACTCATGCTGGATTTTAAAAGTTGAATGACAAAACTGATGTGATTGAGGAATATAGAAATAAGCCTAGAATGTGATCAGAGTATAATTCTTTTATTTTCTCTCAGAGAGTTCAAGCTGTAAAAATGAAGGTTATACTTTGAAATATTCCATCTCCAGGATATACTTTGAAATATTCCATCTCCAGGATAAAATTATTATAGAATTTTTTTATATCTAGTTATTGTAAGATTTTTTTTTTAATTCTCATTTAACTTCCTTTTTTTTCAACTTTATTCTGGAGAGAAAGCAATTACATGGTTGATTTAATGATTCCTGTGGAATCTGAAATTTTCTTCGTCTGTAACTGTAGTATTAACTGAGAAAACTTGTTATATGTAGTTTCTCAAAACCCATAGCTTTTCAGTTGATGGCAATGTCATATATTCTACTAGACACAGTATAGAATTAATCAAGTATTACTGCTATTTGAAGAAAATAATACATATGCTAATAATTTTAAACCAAACTGGTTCATAGTTAAAGGTGTAGCTATTAAAATGTTATAATTTCATCCTAAGTATGGATGTCAGGATGTAATCTCAAGGATAATGCACTAAAGCAGTTTGTTCTGTGTAGTGGTGTCCCTTTTGAAAGTTTGTGTTTGATGTAGTTAGTTCCTAAATTTGCAAGACCACTGGATTGTCTTTCAAACCAACATTAAAGATCCATTGGTATATTCCTTAGGCTGTTGGATTCATACCATCAGGAGCTTTTTAAAGTTACTCTGCCAGCAAGTGTTAATTTAATTCAGATAAAATTTAAATGCATTTAGTTAATAATTTCACATTTTGGGAAAAACGGTGGGCTTTGGTCCTCCGGGGAGGCGCCCCGCGACGTCTCGCGGCCCCGCGACCAACAGCTTACCCCAACCTTACCGACGAACCTAAATTCTAGAATAATGAGCAAAAGAGAAACCGGTAAAATCCCATAAAATTCTGTGCACGGGAGTCCGGACGAAGACGCAGGACGCGTAAGCATATTGCGAAAATTCGCAGAGCGGAATTGTCAGCGGCGAAATTGTTCGCGGCTTTGCCGTTCGGGCGGGATTGGGTTTCCTGGAATATAACGAATGAGAGGTTCGATATATTGAACCAAGTGAGTGTGGACCCTTAAGTACTGCGTTTTCCATCTCCCGCGAGGGACTGGGCCAGGAACAAGGGGAAGCAAGTGAGTGAGTGCTCGTGGATATTCCAGAGGATGGGGGCGAAGGGCAGCAAGCCTTCGACTCCCATGGGAAGGGTACCCCCTGTACCTAAGAATACCCCTTTGGCATATATCTTAGACAATTGGGAACACTTTCCTGGAACTCAACAGAAAAATAAGCAAAAAATGATAAACTATTGTACCAAGATGTGGGGAGGGAAGAAAATTTCAAAAACTGTCTTTTGGCCAATCTATGGGTCGGCAGAAGATTGGGTAAGACAGCAATTAAATCTTTGGGTTAATAACAAAAAACCCTTTAACCCAGAGGAAAGTCAATATGT